AATATCCTGGCTTCCCAGTCTACTATCCACAGAAAAAGAAACATATATCCGGGAAGCCTAAGCTAGAATCCAAAGTGCAAAAAAAAAAATCCAGGAGTAATAGACTAATATCCAAGGAAAACAAAACAAATATCCTGGCTTCCCAGTCTACTATCCACAGAAAAAGAAACATATATCCAGGAAGCCTAAGTTAGAATCCAAAGTGCAAAAAAAATATCCAGGAGTAATAGACTAATATCCAAGGAAAACAAAACAAATATCCTGGCTTCCCAGTCTACTATCCACAGAAAAAGAAACATATATCCAGGAAGCCTAAGCTAGAATCCAAAGTGAAAAAAAAATATCCAGGAATAATAGACTAATATCCAAGGAAAACAAAACAAATATCCTGGGAGAACATACTAATATCCAATGAAAAAGAGAGAAATATCCAGGAAGAACAGACACTACTCGTATCCTCCCGAATTTACCGTAGACGGGGGTGTCTCTATACTCTCTTCAGCAGCAGCAGCGGTCTGGAGAGAAATCTGCATTATATTCACTTGACCAAAAATGGACTCCGTATGCTGAACCTCCGGATCAACAACAGGCACCTCCACCTCAGTACTCGACTTAACAACAGGCACCTCCACCTCCACCTCAGTATCGACAACAGACTCCACCTCAGTATCGACAACAGACTCCACCTCCACCTCATCACTCGACTTAACAACAGAGGCCTCAACATCAACCTCGACAACTGCCTCTGACTCAACCTCCACATCAGTAGTAGACTTAACTGCCTCTGACTCCACCTCAGGCTCGACCACTGTATCTGGCTCCATAACCACCTCAGGCTCCACCTGAGTCTTCTCACGGGTTCTCCGAGAGTACACGCGGCTGAACATATTCTTGCCTTTCACGTATCCCTCCTTTTCCATTTCCCCTTTGGTCACGGGAACCAATTTCGCCAATCTGCCCCTCTTCCTTCTTCGTTTTGGTCGCTGAAAAAACACGAGGCACCTGTTATCCAACTAATACAAAGTACTATCCAGACAAGAGGCGCCTGTTATCCAGACAGCACAGAGTAATATCCAACATATAGAAACTGTTATCCAAACCACACAGAGTAATATCCACACAATAGACGAATGTTATCCAGACAAGAAATAAAAATATCCAAACACTGTGCAACTGTTATCCAGACAGAACAAAGTAATATCCAAACATTGAGCACTTGCTCTCCACACAGGACAGAGTAATATCCAATACATAAAAGTAACAGATCCTTAACAAGTAAACAAACTTTTGTTCAGCCATTCCAACATGGAAATTATAACATCTACTTAAACAGAAAAAAATTGCAAAGTTCAATTGTTTCCTTCACGGCGCATAATGGCGACTCTCCAGATACTATCCCGCCTTGTTTCCCATACATCCATCACTTTTTCAGTCAATGACTCCAATGCCTTAAGCTACACATATATTGAAAAACAATTTAGTTCGCTACATGCACCCATGTCTATTAACCCACGATTTTGAGATGCAAAGAGAAGATCTACATACCTCATCGTCCTCAAGGGATTCCAAGTCAACATCCGCCCACCAATCAGTAGCAGGAGCCGAGCTTCTCGACCCTGAATCCCAATCCCTCGTGACACGCTCTGGACGGAAGCGGGATCTCACTTCCTCCCTTGACAACAACATGGGACCCATGATATATTTGTCAGCTACCTTGGGGATATTCGAGCACACCTTATCCACCCTTGGGTCGAACCAATAGCTGCAGGTCGGGATGGTTTTGGTGGCAAACCCTCTCACATTAAGGAAGTCTAGCAAATGGATCTACAAAAAACGTACAGAACAGATATCAGAAATGAAATGAACTAATATCCCTAGAATGTTAACTAATATCAACCAATGAAGTAAACAATATCAACAATGTTAAAGTAGAAGTAGAAGTTACCATTAAGAAGTGGATATCTCCGAGAGGCCATTGCTGTTTCCCACCCGCCCTAGCTTCAGCTTCATTTTCCTTAACCCGACCCAACTCAAACTTCAGATTACGGGCAACAAAACCACTCCAATTAAAAGTGGCAATGTCCTCCACCCTTCCAACCATGTACTCTGCATAATCGAGATCACAAAGTCGTGACATCTTCGGGGCGAGCATCGAACCAAGAGCCAGCAACAAAAATTGCTTCACCGCTGCTGCAACAGGTGGTCGCCTTTTCGGTGCATGATCTGGACCACCACAGGCTGCCTCTCGAAGATCCATAACTTCTACATTTCGACTACGAGTACACTCCATGTTCAGCTCCTCCTTGAACATCTCAAGCATCTTGTCGTTCGATTTGACGACATCAATCTCAGCACCACCAATAGGCAGCCCGTATACACGGGCAACATCCTCAGCTTCGATGGTAAGCACCTTCTTGTCATCCCCTTCACCGAAAATGAATGAATTGGTGTGCACATCAAACTGTGCCATCAACGAATCGAACAACTTCTTAGGAACATTTGACAGACGAAGCTCCAATAGCCCTCCAAATCCAGCCTTCTCCAACTCTTTCTTGCAGGCTTCATAGTACCTCGGCTCTTCCTTCCAGTATTTTATAACATCTAACAGAGATTTGGTGTGGCACCGAAATCTGTACCAAGGCTTGCCTTGTCCTAGAATGTGAACTACTGGTGCAGGTACTTGCCGGGGGACTTCAGCATCTTCTTCTTCCTCATCCTCCTCTGGCTGTGGCGGTGGTGATGGCTGTCGTGGATTACGTCGCTGTTTCTTCACGTTCGTTTTATCCCTGCACGGACAAATATCCAGAATATATCAAACAATTATCCAGGCAAGTAACAACAGATATCATGCTGGTAAAAAACTAATATCCAAATGCATCAAACAATTATCCAGGAAAGCCACAACTAATATCAGGCTGATCACACACCAATATCCAGATATGTTAAACAATTATCCAGGAAAGCCACAACTAATATCATGCTGATCACAAACAAATATCCAAATAAATCAAACAATTATCCAAGCAAGTCACAACAGCTATCACGCTGGTAAAAAACTAATATCCAAATGTATCAAACAATTATCCAGGAAAGCCACAACTAATATCATGCTAATCACAAACCAATATCCAGATATATCAAACGATTATCCAAGCAAGTCACAACAGATATCATGCTGGTAAAAAACCAATATCCAAATATATAAAACAATTATCCAGGAAAGTCACAACTGATATCATGCTGTTCACAAATCAATATCTAGCTATATCGAACAATTATCCAGGCAAATAACAACAGATATCAAGCTGATAAAAACAAATATCCAAATATATCAAATAATTATCCAAGCAAATCACAACTGATATCAAGCTGATCAAAAACCAATATCCAGAAATATCAAAGAAATAATCCAAGCAATACACAATGTATATCCAGAATCATAATAAATAATATCGGAACGCACACAAAACAGATTATAACATGTAGCAGAGATTTAGAGTGCACCGAAATCTGTACCTCGCCTTGCTTTTACCTCGAGCTGCTCCTTGTGCAGCTCCTTCTGCTTCAGCTTCAGCTTCTTCTGCTTCAGCTTCAGCTTCTTCTTCTGCAGCTCCACTTGCTTCGACTTCAGCATCTTTTTCTGCAGGTTCTTCTACTTCGACTTCAGCATTTTCTTCTTCCTCATTTTCCTCTGGCTGTGGCGGTGGTGATGGCTGTTGTGGAGTCGGTCGCTGTTTCCTCTTTGTTGTTTTAGTCCTTGCCATTGATGAATCCCTGCACATACAAATACCCAGATCCTATCAAACAACTATCCAAGAAAGTCAGAACTGATATCAAGATACATCAAATAATTATCCAAGCAATAAACAACAAATATCCAGAAGGAACAGAATGCATATCTTGCCGAACAGAACAAATATCGGAAGGAACACAAAACAAATCCACAAAACCCAGAAATAACATCCACAGAAATAACGAACTCATATCCAGTGACACATATAAATTACCACAAAAGAAATATTTGACCCACGAACCCAAAAGACAAATCCACAAATGGAAAACCCAATCGTAGCCATGAAACCCTAACTCAAATCTATCCAAACGAAAATGAATATCCATGAAGACAAATCCACCAAAGGAAAACCCAGATCAAGTCGTACCCATGAAACCCTAACTCAAAATTTTCGAAGCGAAAATGAATATCCATGAACAAAGTATAAATAAGACAGTTACCTTAGTCCAAATCCCGCCGATTCGTCTGCAAAGTCGCCGCCGAAATTCCGCCCTTTCTTTCCGCCGAAATCCCGCTTTTAACTCGCCGCCGCTTCGCTCGCCGCGCAGGAACTCGCCGCCGTCCGTCACGCCGCCGCTTCGCTCGCCGCGCAGGAACTCGCCGCCGCTTTGCTGGTCCCTCGCCGCTTGCTTGTCGTAGTTTTCGTGAGACTCGCCGCCGCTTCGCTCGCCGTCGTCCGTCACGCCGCCGCTTCGCTCGCCGCGCAGGAACTCGCCGCCGCTTTGCTGGTCCCTCGCCGCCGCTTGCTTGTCGTCGTTTTCGTGAGAGGAGGAAAGTGAGAGAGAGGGGAAGTCGAAGTGGGGGAGAGAGGGGAACTGAATTGACTGAATTGGGGGAGAGGGGGGAACAGTGGGCTTGGTTTTTGAATTGTGGGCCCGGTGAGCTTGGTCAGCCATGGGCTCGACCAGCCGACCCAAACCGGCTAAACTTCCTCAACCAAAACCCGGCGCCATCCTACCCTCGCCCACGTGGACAATAGATCCACCGTGTGAGTATATACTCACGGCTTAAGCTGTGAGAAGCATAACTATATTATTGCTTGTGAGGCCACTTCAGTCATCAACATTCTTCGTGGCTATTTCTGTTATTAAATCCTCGAACTTTGGATTCTGTTCGTTCAATACTATTTAAGAAAATGATTTCTAAATCAGTCCCAAAACTTCTTCTTATGACAATTTAGTCCTTTTCTTGTGCTTGCTCAGAAAGACAAACCTTTTGGTTTTGCTACTTCCGTCCTCAAACTTCTTCGCGGCCACTTCTCTAATAACCCCGCCGTTGGATTCCTCTTCGTTCCCGGCTCGTATTCCTTCCTCCCCGCCTCTCTCTCTCTCTCTCTCTCCGGCGACGATCTGATCTGGCTTCCGCCGGTTAGAAGAGAAACTGTATACGGAAACTCAAGGAGCTTGGTGACGAAGAAGTGGCGAGAGGATCTCGAGATATACTGTAAAGCTTCAGAAAGCAACCTGTAGTTTTCTTAATCGAAGTGGCGATCTGTCCAATTCCCTCGCACTTAGGGATCCTCTCTCAAGCTGCCTCGAATCGAGAATTCCCGGTGGAATTTGATAGATAAAGCAATGGCGAAAATTAGGGATAGGAACGAGGATTTCAAAGATGCCGTGAGGCACGCGGCCGTCTCCGCGGGATACGACGAGGTAAAGATTTTGTTAGGGGCTTCTTCGGCAGGAATTACAGTTTCTCGTCAAATTCTGATTTCCCTCGTTCCGTCTCTTGTTTCTGGTGTTCCGCAGTCGAAATTGGCAGCAATTATGGCGTCTTTCATCATTCACAAGCCCAAGCAATCGTCGCCTTTCACCAGAGCTGCATTAAAAACGGTTATAGCTAGCTCCTTCATTGCCTTAACCCCCATTCTGGTTTTGTTTCCCTGAACCAAGCTTCTTCCCCATTATATATAACGATGGATTGGGTCTCTGTTGCTACTGTTTCCATGGTTTGATTAGTTGGAAAGCATTGGAGCTCTTGAACAGTTCATGTTGAAGCATAGGAAGGATTACATGGATATGCACCGAACCACCGAGCAGGAACGAGACAGCATCGAACAAGAGGTGAGCTATCATGACGAAGAACATTGAATGGCTTAGTGCACTGCAGCCGTCAGTTTGGTAGACTGCTGTTCTTAAGCATTTCTCTTTTGTGCTTCAGGTTGCTGAGTTTGTCAAAGCATGCAAAGAACAAATTGACATACTTAAGAATAGCATAAGCAATGAAGACACGAATGCCAAAGGGTGGCTTGGTATTAGGGCTGACAGCTCCAATGCCGATACAATAGCACACAAGCATGGTGTGGTATGACCGTTTTCTTTTCAAATTTGACATTTTTGAGAGTTTCGAGCACTTCTTGGATGTCTGATTGTCGTAGCTTTTTGTATTCGTTCGTTGCAGGTTTTGATTTTGAGTGAGAAACTTCATGCTGTTACATCAGAATTTGATAAGTTAAGGGCGATACGTTTCCAAGATGCTATTAACAAAAGGATCCCGAGAAGAAAGCAAAAGCGGGTTGTAAATCCAAGCTCTACCGTTGCATCTGGAATACTAGATCAGCCGGAACTAAAAGAGACTGATGAAACTCAGTTGGAGCGTCCTAGACTTCAGCAACAATTGTTGGATGACGAAACTCGTGCACTTCAAGTGAGCAGTTCTTTCTTTGTTTTGGTAGAAGTTGCTCAGTACCTTCTACGCAATAATGTGCCTTCATATTACAAATTCATTCTATACAATGTCTGCATTCTTAAGCTGTCCCTTTTGTTCTTCTTATGCAGGTGGAGTTGACTAATCTCTTAGATGCAGTTCAACAAACCGAAACCAAGATGGTGGAAATGTCTGCATTGAATCATCTCATGTCAACCCATGTTCTGCAGCAAGCACAGCAGATAGAACATCTGTATGATCAGGTCAATACCTCTTCCTTTTTTCTTCAACCTGCTCAATCATTTGTCCATTCATGCCATATGCTATAATTGGACTCGATTGCTCCACATTGTATTGCTCTGAAGTTCGGAACCGTTCCAACTATAATTGATTTTGTTGTTTGATAGAGTTTAATTGAATTTTGTGATATCCTCTCTCTTAGATTACTGTTTCATGTATTAGGCAGTTGAAGCTACGAAGAACGTCGAACTCGGAAACAAGGAGCTGTCACAAGCCATACAGAGGAATAGCAGCAGCAGGACATTTCTTGTGCTTTTTCTATTTGTACTTACATTTTCAATCCTTTTTCTTGATTGGTACAGCTGAATGTAAGATAGGCCTTAGCTTGATCAGTTTATGCCAAATCCAAGTCTCCCTAGGGGCTAGAGGAGCCTGTGAAGATCGAGATCTTTGTTTTCTTGAACGATACTATACAATTGGTTCAGAATTACATGTAACAAAATTTATCTCCAGCACCAGCAGCAACTCAAGCTGGCTTACTCATATATTATGATGTGTTTATGCATTGAAATACAAAAGAACAGTTCAATTGAAGTCACTGTAACTGGAAACAGAGCTTGACGCTTCTCCATTGTCATGAAAATGATTGCCTTTCGATGTTCTCGTCTTCCCGGGAGGTGACTTCTTATAAAAGCTACAGAGCAGGGATGCATAGGTGAGCTCAGAACGAATGACCACAGTACTGGTGAGTCATATATGTCTCTTCAATCCTAGAGCATTTTGTTCGACGGATTAAAGAGACGCGATTCAGATCGAGATTAATGAAAATTAATTAACTCAGGAGAATAATAATTAAGGCAACAAAAACAAATCAACCTTACTGCATTTTTCTGCATACAGACAGACAAAAAGACATTCCTCACTGACAGTACAACCCAGAAACTTGCACACAGCTAACTGAGACCATTTCCCTTTCTACTTTTCCTGTAACCTTGTATCAAATAGGTGCTCCCTCCCTCCAATCCCTCCACCAAATAACTAATGCCAACACATCTTCCCACAGAATTACAGACATCAATTGATAAGAGCATTAGCACACAGACACAGCCTGATCTTGCTCAATAAAATTAGACAAGGCAATGAATTACGCCACAGCAATGTAGATAAAAAGCATTACCTACCACCCTGATCTCCCTTACTACTCTTTCCCTCCTGACGAGGACATCTCGAACACCGACTGAACAGGGTACCTGTCGATACAATCGTCCCACGGATTAGTGACCGAGGGCTTGACATTCCTTGTGGCTTCCCAGACCGCGCTGTTGCACTTGAACCCGCTCCCGAACGCAATCTGCCACACCCGGTTCCCCTTCCTCATCCTCCCCTTTGCCTCGGTGTACGCCAGCTCATACCAGATCGAGCTGGACGATGTGTTCCCGAACCGGTGGAGTGTCATCCTCGACGCCTCCACGTGTTCGGGGAGAAGCTGCAGGTTCTTCTCGAGCTCGTCGATCACAGCTCTGCCTCCGGCGTGGATGCAGAAGTGATCGAACGCCAGCTTGAAATCGGGGATGTAAGGCTTCAACTTCTTGCCACTGAACAGCGTCTTCTTGGCAATGAGCGTCACGAAGAAGAGCAGCTGCTCGCTTATGGGGAGGACGAGGGGTCCTAGCGTCGTGATGTTCGTCTTCAGGGCCTCGCCTGCAATCGCCATGAGATCTTTCGAGAGAGAGACCCCGGTCTTCCCTGCATCATCCTGCTCCTGATACACACACTTGAACGCCTTGTCGTCAGCTCCCTTGTGTGTCCTAACCACATGAACAAGCTTGTACTTGGACCTTCTCCTGTCCTTGGACTTGTTGGATAGCAAAATCGCAGCACCCCCTACTCTGAAGAGGCAATTGGGGATCAACATCGACTTCTTGTTCCCAAAGTACCAGTTCTGAGTAATATTCTCTGTGCTCACCACTACAGCATAAGTGTTCCTGTGAACTTGCAGCAAATCTTTTGCCAGACCCACTGAGATAACCCCAGCGCTGCATCCCATCCCACCTAGGTTATAGCTTAGAATGTTGCCTCTAAGCTTGTACTTGTTCACAATCATGGCGGAAAGGGAAGGAGTGGGATTAAACAAGCTGCAATTCACTACCAGGATGCCAATATCTTTGGGCTTAACGTTAGTGTTGGCAAAGAGATTGTCCAGAGCACCAAACATCACCTGTTCAGCTTCTTCCCTGGCCGCCTGCATCGACGGCCGAGGAGGGATGAAGTGCATAGCCTCAGGAACGTAGGTTTCCTCGCCGAGGCCGGACCTCTCTAAGATCTTGCGCTGGAACTCCAACGACGACTCGTCGAAGTCCCCCGTCAGCCGCGAATGCTCCATGAATTGGGTGTATCTGACCTGGAGCTCCGCCGGGGGCTTGTAGCAGGCGTAGTCGACGAGGAAAACGGATCTGGGTCGGGTCATGACGTAGACGGTGATCCCGAAGACGAGGAAAGTGGAGCAGACGATGACGCTGACGAGATTGTACTGGAGGTGGAGCCAGAGCTGGCGGATGTCGTCGGGGTTCAATTGGGTAGCTTCGATCACGATCACCGCCATCAATGGGATCAAACAGAGGGTCAGTAGATGGCTCACCAGGTAGTGGTAGCCCAGCTTCACATGCTTCAGATTCACGCTCTGTAGGAAATCCGGCAGCCGGGTCCTCGATTGGGGATGGATCTGGATCCCACCGACTCCACCGCCGACGCCACCGACCGGCGTTGCGCTAGCGGTGGCGGATTCACCACTCATTGCTACTAAAGCACTAATCACACAGCCAAATCGAACTTTCGCCTTCTGGGTATTTCCGATATCAAAAAGCGAACCCACCCAATTAAAATATAGCGAGGGAGAGTGACAATGGAAAGTGGGTAATCGTCCACGGATCTGAAACAGGAAACCGGCGAGAAATCTGATGGAGGAAGAGGGGAAGAAGAAAGAAAACTTGGCTGGGTATACAACTACTACAGCGAAGAGACTAACAGGAAGCTGACACAATTGAATACCCACGTAAATTTCTTATCCGTATATATAAGAAACTGAGAGGGAGCGGGTTTGGTTATAACTGGGAAGAACGGCGATGGCGACAGGAACAGAAATAACAGAGTGACGAGTGGGGGAGGAAAGATGACAGATGAGAGATGGGGAAACGGCAGATTTGGGGGTTTTAATTAGGGGTTTGTTTGGAATTATAGTTAAAAATACAAAAAAAATTGAAAATTGGTGGGATGGAAAGTTTGGACCGGAATCGACAGAGGAAAGGAGCGGATTCGAGAAGGAGGAGAAGAGAAGAAGAGGCCGTCTCAGTCTCAGTTTGTGGCCGGACGCTTCGGCATATAATTTTACGAAAAGTCAGAAAAATAAGCTTTGGCCAGAAGTCACCGTAAGTTTCAAGGCTTCTACCATTTCGAGAAGAAAACTACGAGGACAAGGAAGAGTATGATCCAATTAATTAATCAATCGCACACTGAACTTTCAATCATGTTATGATGATCAGATTCACTACGAATTTTGTTGTTAACAATATGGTTCATGAAAAGTGAAAATATTGAACGTAATGATTTCTTTCGATTCAACATTTTGTTTGGTAATGATTTTGTCCTTTTAATCACTATACTCATTTTTTAAGTATTAGAATCATGGAGAGCAACTACATGCCATCAAAATTGGATCGGTAGCTCAGTCATCAGCGGCGGATACAGAACACAGAAGAGCACTGGGTCGCATTTCGTTAGAAAATTAGAATCGTAAGAAAATATAATGATTATAGTTTTTTTTACAACGTCAATTGTACACGACGGTATTTAGTTTAGCGAATGCGTCAATAATGGAGTCCACATCCATACCAATAGTATACACTGTTTCAAATAAAAATACTTGAACAAGGTGAGAAATTCATTGCTTTTTTTTTCGCAAATCAATTTTCACATGTTTCATTGTTGAAAAGGTTCTCTCCATAGTAGTTGTTGAACGAGAAGCGTCAACGCTAGACAAATCAATCGACTAATCCATTTGCATTGTGTGTCCATCCCTATATCCTCCAGCTGTTCTTGTAAATTTTCAAGGGAACAAACCTCATATTTCTTTTAGTCTTTTACGTTTTAGACTTTTAGGTTTCATTGTTTTGTTTTTTTAGACGAATAATCTTTGGGACTAGAATTTCTAAACTAAATTTAGAGTAGTAATTTGAATATGTTCATCTGAATCATTTTTCTAGTTATACCCAATCTTATTATAAAATAACACTGGACCGATCGCCTAAAATCGAAAATTCAATAAGAACTACACTAACATCGAATCCAGAGGAGGGCTGGGGTCGGGGCCCGGGGTGGCCACCCCATGGATCCGCCACTGTCAGTCACCGGAAAAATGGATCGTCGCGTCGAAATTGAAGAACACGACAATGGCTTATTTTACATAACATTGTGACTTTTCAGTGAGTCTTTTTTTTTTTTTTTTGTAGATTTGAGTTTTGCATGCTGATGATGCTCTGAATTCGGAGATTTGAAGCTAACTATCGTATGACCTCGTTGATACCATATAAATGTTAAGCCATTCTTGAACCACATCCAATTCCGCTATGTTTTAATGTCCCTTTCCTTCAAATATATTGAATTAATGTGTTTTTTTTCCCACTTTGTCTTCATTATTGAAAAGAGAACAAGGTGGCAATTAATGGCTTCACTGATTTTGCTTATCCTGTCTCTCTACTTCCAGTGAACTGTTTCCAACTGTTTGTGACCTGTGGGCCGTGGGCCAGTAGCTGCATGCAGTAGGTGAGGAATTCAATTAAGCGTCAACGGTGGAACAGTCTGGACCAGTGTGGGCTTTTCTAATTCGGTGGCGTCATTAAAACATACATCTCCCATGTTTGGGCCCATCTCATCTTCCACCCAACTACCTAACTGACCCATTTGTTTGGAGTTTGGACCGTAAATAATAAATATTATGATGACGTCTCCGGCCCGGTTGACCGAAACGTGGCAGGAGGTCATAAATAATACTGATCCACTCGCCGATCCGAGGACGTAGCAATATAACAGCGGGATCGAGGAGGGCATTGTGGGGATTTTAGTTGATCCTTTCTACCACCTGGCAGTCCATTTCCTGGTTGACTATTATGGGGTGAGAATGGGTCTGTCTGTAGGTTCGAGTCCAGGCCCATTGGAGAAGCATGCCATAAAGAGACGAGAGTCAGAGTAAATGGGCCGCTGATACCAAAGCTCAAATGAGAACAATAAGCGCATAAGCCCATAAGCCCAGTAAAAGAGGATTTCTGGATTATAAGTAGGAAGGTGGCAATGGATTCCACAATATAATGTAAATGAAGTAACACAAATCTTGTACCATACACACAACAAAACTCATCCAAGTAGAGATGCAAGAAGCTGGAAGGAACAAAAATTGTAAGTAAAACAAGGATTTACAACGAGGCCGAAACCACTATTTGTCTTCGCATTTTTTCTGGCTTACCTCACATCAATACCAAGGGAGATGCTAACGCGACAATAAAACCACTTATGTTAGCGTCAAGTTATGACTCTTAGCGCGGGACACCTGTCCTTGATGAAGTCGTTGTTTTCAGTTGTAGTTTACCGAGTCGTATAAAATTTTCTTTAGTAGGACTGCCCATCTTATGGCCAAATGACTCTACATGCATTTTTCCGCTTTTTGCTTTTGATTTTTACAATTGGTTAGCGAGTTTTATTTTCTCTGGGGTTTAAAGTTTGTTGTAAATTATTGTGTGTATGGAAATGGGTGATGAAAAGTAGTTGACCTAACCTTAACCCTACACAAATAAACAATTGGAAAATGTTGGATATTTTTGGATTAGCTAGCCACTAAGCATCAAAACCCTAATTAGTTTAATGGAAATCAAATCACCCGTGACATGTGCTCATTACTTTACTTGGCAAAAAGGTCCAAGACCATGGCCAATTAGGGTTTAGGAAACAACCTAAACTAATGACTTTTCGATTAGGGATAAGGTTAGACAAATGATGGGCACTTCCCAAAAGCAGTAAGTGCGGGCACATGCACAGCTGGCCCTTCATTTTTAATTTGTGGGATGAATCTGTCTTATGTGTAGTTAGTGGGCTAAGATTAGAAGAATACACCAGATGGATCATATGATTAGAATATGATTAAGCTTAGATTTAGGGCCCCTAATTTGTCGCTGAAAAGGGCACATGATGCTTGTTTGGAGACCGCATTTGGAAAGCAAAAAGCACTTCTCGATGCACTTTGCTTTGTTTAATGGTTTAGCACTCTACTATTGTGATGAGAAATTGGATTGAAGCCACCAATCAGGCAATCACTACGTAGCGGTTTAGCACCTGGATCCATGTAAACAATGGTGGAGCAAGAAATCTGAATGACTGAATATATATGGGCTAATTTGAACTGTGATAATTGGTGAAGGAAGAGTGGGGTAAGGTTTTATTGATTACTCTATTTTCTAAATTTGTTACGAATTTTACATGTAATTTTACCTATATCTCAAATTTGAGAGGTGGCTATAGCTCTTTCTGACTTCAATATAGCTCGTCAATTGCATGTAAAGTGTCTCGATTTTGAGGAGGAGTTTTGTGTTCGAGTTGCTGAATAGCCATTTTTTTTATAGTTTTTAATGATTGTTTGTTCAAGCTTATTATATTTGGAATTTGGGATGTACATATTTTATGTGTAATCGGAGAAGGAAGATCTAAGATTTGACATGTTGTGTAGTATGGTTAAGGTTGGAAACTTAATAATGAGGATGAAGAGCAAGCGAAGGAGCAAGGACGATTGTCACGGATAAGAGATTTGTAACTTTGGAAGAAATTTTAGTAAACTTTGAAAGTAGTATTTTACTCGGTGAAAAAAAAAACATAGAGTCGAGATAATTACCATTCTCTATCTGACCCTCATTATAACCGTGAATGAAAGGAAATGATTAAATTGGCGTTGAATAATATGGTTTGGACTACATTGAGTAGTTTGATAAAACCTAAATAATTACTACATTAAGTAGTAAAACGAATCATCCACGTTAGTTGGTTACGACCTGTTTGGCTATTCTATCGAATTGTTTAATATTGTTTGGTAGTCTTTATCTCGATGAATCGAGAGACAAAAATATAACAAAAGATGAATAGAGTTACTATTGTGCCATCTATTACAAAATTCCGGCACGCTTTCATTGAAAAGCAAAGTTCAGTGACTAATCTGTTAATGACCTCAAAGTTTAGTGACGGCCATTATTGATGTGGGGCTAATTACTTGCCGACCCAGATCAGTACCACGGTTGATGATGTAAGGCCAAGCTGCAAAAGTCCCTATCCCATCTGAATCAGACTACTACTAATTGAGGAAAGAGTATTATTTGTATATACTTTCCAGGATTTGCCTTTTTAGTACCCAACTGGTCTTTTTCACTCTCTTTTAGCCAAAAAAAAAACACCTTCCTTAAACCTTGTAATATAACAAGACAATGGAAACGTGCGAAAATTGTGCTTTGCAGCATTAAACAACACATTAATCCATTATTTACCAAATACATCTTGGCATAATTAACCTTGTAGTACCAGTACCACATACATACACTTGCAGTAGTACTACATAGTTGGTCACTAAAAATAAAACCCCAAAATGAACCACAAAAGGAACCAAAAGAGATTCATAAAACTAGATGGCTTCTTGGTTACTAAGACACTAATAGCTACATGTAGATAGATGGGAGGAGATAATGAAGAAGAAGAAGAAGAAGGTGCATGCAATAATATGTATAATGGATTGCACTTATTATATTGCTCTTGTGGTGGTGATGATGATGATGATCCACATCACCATTAATACTTCATTCATGCTTCATCCCAAAAGCTACCTCATCATTGGAGCTTCATGTTCCTCATCCTGAAAAGGTTCCACCATCAACACCCATCAATAATCTATAGTAATTCGACGCAATCTTACGATAACCAACCTGCAGCGATACTACAATACTGTCAGAGAATCCTTTGCTCGAAGCAGAAGGTAAACTCGATCGATAACCCAGTGAAGAATTACATAGTTCGTGACGCGAGTCAGTATCGGTATTAAAAAGCGCCTTGAAGCCCCCACACGTGGGGGAAAAAAAAGTAGTATGTAAGCCCCTTTTCCACCACCAAATGAAGAGGATGGAGGGAGGACACCTCAATAGGTAACTATTAAATGGAGGTTGTGCATGCATTAATTAGCAAAGCTAATTAGTAAGGTCTATTTCCACGATCCCCGTGACTAATTAAAGACATTAAAAAAAAAAAAACCAAATTATGATCACAAAACGTGTCTCTAGCTCTAACCTCTTTATCTCTTCGTCGGAGATCAGGAGGTTGAGGTTGAGCTGGCCGCCGGAGGAAGCAATATTATTGCCGTTGTAGTTGGAGTTGGTGTAGAGATTTGAGGGGAAAGGGAAGTGAGGCGACTCGATGAAGTTGACGTCGTCGACGAGGAGGTCGTAGTGCCGCTTCACGTCGTCGGCGGTCTTGTTCCCGCCGACGGCCTTGGCCACGTTGGACCACCGGTCGGGGGTGTCCTTGTCGTACACCGCCAGCGCCCTCTCGAACGCCTTGTTCTGCTTCGCCGTCCAAACGCCCGACGAACCTCTGCCCGACGACATTACTACTGTGGACCGCCGGTATATATATAGTTACTAGCTAGCTTTAGTTTTCCGGTGATGGAGTCAACGGCGGAGAAGACTATGGCTTGTGTGGTGGTGATGATGTAGAGAGGAAAGGAGTGTGGCAATGGCTGGTCTTTATAGGGTGAGAGAAGGGTACTGGTTTATATATTTGCCAGTTGGCAATAAAAAGGGGGATTTCTTATGTTTTGTGATTTGATTGGGTAATTAGATATTTTGGGGGAGTGATTTGTCTTTCTCGGAACCACAATTTGGTGTTTTAGAGGTTGAGAGGGGAGGAGGAGGAGAAGGTAGGTGCCAAGTTGGAAGCAAAGGGAAACAGACATTTGCCTATGTATAAGTGATTGGAGGAAAGGCCATGGTGATGATGAGTGGGACTCACATGGTTTGGTTCATGATGCTTTATTTTCTATAAAATCCTTTTATCGTGCATGCTAATTTGTCTAATCATTTTCGCTTTCATTTTATAAATATCTCAGATTGTTATGTTAGGTTTTAATGTAATGTTAACAAGTGATGCTCTAGTATGTAGTTGGTAGGTTAGCTCGTTTGGGTTCGAGCTGTTTAAAATTTTCTTTTTGGTCCTACGATATACTTGTTACACATAAATGGACTTCTTACACATAAATGAATGAAAGAAGTTGGGTACATGGAGAAAGTTAATTAACCATAGATATCATCTTCAAACAATTTTATCTTCTATCGCCTAGCTCTGAAAGCAACATGGAGTGGTCTTGGGGCATGAGTGTTCTTTATATTAATTTGTAATGATTAACGGCCGACAATCATCCTATGCGTTCGGCTTATAATTTTTAAGGATCAGTAGGAAACCCATTCGCACATCATCCCACGACATAAAAGCACAAAGACTATCATCCAAGTAGTGAATTTACTCCATCATCCCACGAAACAAACACAAAGACTCTCGTCCAACAAGTGACCGACCCCTCGTTACGAATTTGGAGAGAAATGAGCCTGTGCCCCTAGGCCTTATTGAATGTTAAGGACAAGGGTCATGTAGTAGTAGGGTCAAAATTCCATGGCTATGTCCCAAAAAACCATGCTAGTAAGTTACTATTGAACTTTCACGTGTGCACCCACAATCTTCACACAACTGTTTGGGGGTATCCACGAAAAGGAACAAAGGATGGATCTTTGTGCAGTGATGAGAGAACCAAATAAACCAAACCCTCTTTTTTGAGTTCTTATATGTTCCATTATAAATGCAGACGTGATATGATCCTCTTCTGAGAACTGTACTCTGTCCTGAACAAAATTCCAACCAAACCTAGCTGGCCCTTTTTGGTTCAATCTTCTTTGTCCTTGCAACTCTACATGATTACTTTTACATTGTGTCTTCTTGTTATCTCCCCCTTTCCTTCCTTTCTTTCCTGTTGCTGCCTTTTCTCTCTAACCATAACAATAAGTCAAATACATGTGCTCATCACACCTAACCCCTTTTCATCTATTTGGACTCAATTTGTTTAAATATCGTTACATCTATGAACGTGATTCAATCTCGATAAATGATGGCTTCGACGCCTCTATGTTTTATCGACTCGATCTGGTTAAACGGTGTTGCATCCACAGTAGATAGCATTTCGGCGATTTTTATCTTTGAGTAAGGTATCGTTTATAGTGTAGATCCAAGCTTGGCACTTTGAAAATCAGAGATGAATAGGTCAGACAGGACTTCCACCGGATTCTAGCTAGCTTGACTAGTGCTCCATGGACAAATAGACTGGTCTTAATCTAAAGATTTGGTCTGAGAATAATAATATGCAGCAAGAAAAACATGGTTCCATTTGTCTGGTTTTTCTTGAAATGATGGGAACAAAAGCTTGTCCCCCTTCCCCTGCAGAAGAACAGTCTCCTTGTATAGTAACACTAAGCAACATAATTTGCCCTAATTCTGTCTAAATGGCAGTCAAATAGTACGATGGTTAGTTATGATTAATCAGTTTCTCTGATGGGCTAAATGACAATTATTAATGTCAGGGATTGAAGAAGCTCGTGAGAAGCCTAACCCACCTGCTGTAAACAGATCAGAGGATTAGACAAATTTGGTTCATGGCTTTTGTTCTGCTGATTAGTCCTTTCATGTGCCTAACTTTGTTTTAAAAAGTACATTACATGTCATTTTAATGTACAAGAAGCTAATCCCTCGGCAGTTTTGTCTTTGATCAGAAAAGGGTAGCAGCAGGAGCATGGTTCAATTGTACCAATGGTCACTGAACTTTGAAATCATTTAACATATTGGTCACTCTTGTTCCCATCTGTGATTTTCACCTCGGGATGGAACTGTAGTAGGAGCCACTCCAGCCAGAAGCAAGTTGGGATGCAAAAGAGTTAACCCACTTGTTCTTTGGTTCTTAACCAATTATATACAGGTAGTGAAAAAAGCTTGCCTTTTACTTTTTCCATTGACAAGTCTACTTCTTTCTGAGGTGAAAATTTATGTTCTTTCCAGCTTATCCCTTTACTATGGGTTTGGCCCCATATCCCCAATCTGTCTCTTTTGTTTTCACCCCACTCCCTCTGCATCTTTTTCTGCAAATGATGAACATCCACAATCATATCTCAAACTGCAGGATATCTGCACAGTCATGGACAACTACCCCAAAAATATATGCAATAATGTGAAAGAATCTTTCTTCCTGACCTACCAGATGTCCTTGTAGGGTTTCTTTGGCCCTCTCTTCTGTAAATTAACCATCTGTAGGCACAGAATTTAGCAGGAATTAAGGGCTTACTTAATCAATGAGAATGTGGCAATCAGGAAAATATCTGCTTGGAATATAAGATAAGACAGATTGAAGAGGCAGCATACATATCAGAATATAGTCTAGGCTGCAAGTTGGTTGCATTTGCAGGAAAATAGACCAAAAAACAGTATCATACAGCCACTAAACATTAGGGCAAATGCTGAAAACTTAGTGAGGTCTATGTGGATGGATGTTCATCTCAACTTTCTTACTGTGGTCTCTTGAGAATCTGTTTCCATTCCTCATAGGACTTGGATTCGAGCTCTTCGCTGAGTTGTTTTGTCAATCGATCATATCAGATAGAAATATGCTATGGAAGCTGTATGTCAAGTTGCATACACAAGTCATGGTCAGAGGATTCTGCCTATAATGGGGCTGCTGCTGCTGCTGCTGCTGCTGAAGCTTGTGATGATTAGATGAAAGTTACATGACCAAACTTCTTAGGAATCTGTTTGGAAGGAAGGAAAATGGTGAAAAGGGGAGAAAGTGATTGCTATGGAGATGCACAAACCATTACATTCCCACTTCCCATTTGGAAAAAGGTCATCAACTTTATATGTATGTTCATGTCCATGGATGCCATTCCTCCACACAAGTTGGAGCAAAATGAGTGTTCTAACAAGATATACAACCACCCCATTTGCTTATGGTGGAAGAACATGCTACTTCTTAGATGCATTTAGCAGCTGTTAGCTTAACAATTTCATTATTCCAAGCTAGGAGAGAACCAGGAATCTAGGACTAGAAAGGTTTGAAGATTTTCAATCCATATTATATTCTTTTGATGGCTGGCAGCTGGTCCTATATGAATAGAATATTGTAAAAGACACAGGGAAGGTTTGTAAATGTGATTGGTGGATTTTGCTGGGGGGAAGAAGCATGGTGGGGAATATGCAAGAGGGAAAGATAGAATGAATAATGCTCTCTGTGTGTCCAAGAATTGTACAAGCAGCAGCACTGGATTATGCTTGCTTTATGATACCTACTTTAAACTGGTTCCAACCTACTAATTCGAGTAGTTGGGAAATGATCGGTGATAAATGGATTAGTGCATTCATGAATTTGGATAAAAAAAATTGGTGGATTGTATATTTGTATTTATGTATTTAAGTGACATATGTAAAATTTCAAAAAATTTAAATACTAAAATGTCATAATAATAAAAAATTGGGTAATTAGCATAAATGGTAACAAACCTTTGCACTTAGTACAAAACGGTCACAAATCTTTAATTTGTAACAATATGGTAACAAAACTTTGAAATTGTATAAAATGGTCACCGCTATTTAATTTGTGACCGTTTTGTTTTAAATGAAAAGGTTTGTTACCGAATCGTTACAAATTAAATGTTTGTCATGTTTTGAGGTTGGGTAGTTTGTTCGTTAAGTATATGACACTAACCACTTGAACAACATATAAGATGTCAGCTCATGTGTTCATCGACATATTTGCTTTGCCAAATAAGAATGCCCTCGGTTGACCTTTCAATTTCGATACCAATCTATCAAAAACAAATTTCGATACCAAGAAAGTAGACAAAGTTTTTTCAACTAAAAAGCAGTCTGGAACCCGTTTGTGAGCCATTGAATTCTCTCATTGTCATCCTTTATGACGATCATATCATTCACATACATTAACAAAACCACCATACAACTAGAGCGAATTGTAACGGTGATTGAGCGTTCAAACTTTTGAACTTAATTTGTACAAAACGGTCACCAAAAGTCTAATTTGCAATGACACGGTAACAAAAGTTTGAACTGGTATGAAATGGTCACACTGTTTAATTTGTGACCGTTTTGTTCTAAGTAAAATGTTTTGTTATCAAATGGTTACAAATTAAATATTTGTGACTGTTTTGTACTAAGTGCAAAGGTTTGTGACTATTTATGCTTATTACCCATAAAAAATTAGATACCAAAACGTAGTTTTTAATGATTTTACATAAAATATTATAATTTAGGTATCAAATGTAAACTATAAGTACTAAACTGTAATTTTTCAAATATCCATGAATCCAATCCATAATCTAAGGTTGCTAATCGGTTTGGTTTCAGCTAACTACTGATCGATTTGGTGGTTAGTGATTAACTAAGCAAAAAATGCATGCCGAAAACCGAACCAATAAAGCTTATCGCTTAATCGTCTATTATCTATTCGATTAGCGATTAGTTTGACAGTTAACAAACCAATAACTACTTCCATGTGCTGGGGTGGGCAATGAGTGGGTTGGGTGGGTTTCGGTTTTAAATTGACCCTCTGGCTTACTAATGAGTTGGTACAATTGTGACCCGCAATCCACCTACACACTACTTCAGGTTGGATGGGTGGCGAATGTGTGTGGTTGGTTGTGGATTAACCCGCAAACACAATTCTTCAACTAGTAATTAGGCAAGTTGGCT